GCCGGATCCTCAACCGCTTCTCCAGCGATATCCTGGCTATCGATATCAACCTGCCCGCCTCGCTGATGGACTCCATAGAGTTTGTGGTGAATGGACTGGCTGTGCTCGCGGTGGTCAGCACGGCCAATACTTGGCTCCTCATTCCTGCCATCATTGTGGTGGCTTTGCTATATGGATGTCGGTGCCTCTATATAGGAGCTAGCAGGAGTCTGAAGAGGATCGAAACTATTTGTAAGTTATCGAAAGGGGGATACTTGCAACCCACAGAAGATACATTTCTTAAAGTGCAATTCCGGCATTATTTATTCCAAATTCCATCTACAATTTTCTCTTAATACGTATTATATTTTCCACAGCCCGCAGTCCCATTTACTCCCACACGAATGCCACCTTTCGGGGACTGGCCACCATCCGTGCTCTCAATGGGGCCAAGCGGATGGAGCAGGACTTTCATCATTACCAGAACGAGAACACTTCGGCACTCTACCTCCATGTGAGCATCAATCGGGCCTTTGCCTTCTGGACCGACTTGATCTGCGTGCTCTACATCCTGGCTGTGACATTCAGCTTCCTGATCTTCGATCGGAGTCGTGGATATTACAGTGGGGATGTGGGCCTGGCCATTACCCAGTCCATGAAGCTGGTGCTGATGTGCCAGGCGGGGATGCGTCAGACGGTGGAGCTGGAGAACAATATGACCAGTGTGGAGCGGGTCCTGGAGTACGCAAATATACCCTCGGAGCCGGCATACGAGACGGAGGCGAAGGTGAATCTGCCGGCACAATGGCCCAGTAGCGGACAGCTGGACTTCCGCGATCTAAGGCTCAAGTACAACGATCATGGACCATATATCCTCAAGGGCCTGAACTTTACGATTCGCGGCGAGGAGAAGATCGGTATCGTGGGCCACACGGCGGCTGGCAAGTCCTCCATTGTGGCGGCCCTCTTCCGGCTGGCTCACATCGATGGCCACATCGCCATCGATGGCTTCGAGACATCGGAATTGGGACTTCACGATCTGCGCCGCAGGATCTCGATTATACCGCAGGATCCTATCCTCTTCTCGGGTTCGCTCCGCTTCAACCTCGACCCGTTCGAGGAGAAGTCGGACGCGGAGCTGTGGCAGGCCCTGGAGGCCGTCAAGCTGAAGGAGTTCGTCTCGAACCTCAAGGACGGCATCTACTGTCGCGTCCACGACTGCGGGGCAAACTTCAGCATGGGTCAAAGGCAGCAGGTCTGCCTGGCCAGAGCCTTGCTCCGCCAGAATAAGATACTCATTATGGACGAGGCAACGGCCAATGTGGATCCGCAGTAAGTGTATACCTTTTTCTTTACAAAATCACTCTTAAATATAATCATATAATGTTGATTAAGATTTAAATATTGATAAACTACAGCATAATTTATCCTTTACACCCTTCCAGGTAACATAATTGTAGTCATTTGAAAAGCAGTGAAACAATATACTAAACATTCAACATTTTATTGTTCACATATAAATACTAAAATTTATTTGATGACTCTCTGACATCGGCTGACTAACCAAAATTAGCCTGAGTGATTGATTGTATAATTCTTCAAAAGAAACCAAAGATCAAAAGTCTACCGATGTCCAAAAGTGACATTAAAAATCGAAACCATTCTAATTGCACATGACCCACTCACTTACATTATTTTCGTATCTAAAAACTGCGTAGAAAAATTATAAGTTTTATCTAAGATTTTGTTATTATTGAAAAGGTCATTTGAAAGGTTATTTTGTAAATGAAAAATATGTTTTGTTTAGTAAGAACCGAAAATAAACAGAATCTCTGGACTTCATTGAGAATTTAAGAAGAATTATATTTTAAAAGCTTAAATTTCTCTTGTAAAATTTCGAATTAATCTGATATATTAATATTATTTACCAATTTATAATTTATATTCCTAAAACATAAGTTATTCAAATCCCTTTTGCAGGACCGACAATCTCATCCAGGAGGCCATCCACACCAAGTTCGCGCACTGCACTGTCCTGACCATTGCCCACCGGCTGCACACTGTGATGGACAACGACCGGGTGATGGTGGTGGACATGGGTCGTGTGGTGGAACTGGGGCATCCCCACGAGCTGCTCCACAACCGGCACGGCTACCTGCATCGGTTCGTGGAGAAGACGGGCGTGGGCACGGCCCAGCATCTGCGGTACCTGGCGGAGCAGAGCTACCGGAAGCGGGTGCTGGGCAGGAAGGTGGAGGAAAGGAGCTCCTTGCTGGAGGTGGGCTACAAGGGGACGACGCTGTGAAAGAAGACTGGTAATGGACCGGGAGGGATATTTTTTGTATAAATAAAAGAGAGCCTTGAGGGCTGTTTCGTTCTGTAAGGTATGGTAATTATAGACTTTATTATAGTGAACTGATCTTTAAATATAGTTTATATATATGTATATATATTTAATATGTACTTTATAATATATACTCGTACTTCTGCTGTCCTCGTCTTCTTGAATGAAGGTTTTTGTTGGAAAAAGCAATTATCCTTGCAGAAGGTTTTCTTGTTTGTTTGTTTATTTGTTGTATGTCCTCTAATTTCAGCTACTCGTACTGTCTGGCTTTGATTTGCTCTCTCTACTAACTACGAGATCCTTGCTAGTAGTTGTCCTTTGGTTTCAAGTCACATGAGAAATATCGAAATGTTTTTTTTGTTTCCTTTCGTTTGTTGAACTCTACAAGTTGCTTCCTCTGCTCTTCGGCTCATCGGCCTCTTCTAGGCTTAAAGATTTAGTTTTAACTTAGATGTGCGGTAATATATATGGCATTTGGATTCTAGATGTATATAAGATTAGCATTCATATATAAAATTTCCCTTTTTTTTGGTAGAGTGTAAATGAATTTATCGCAATCTGGTTTTGTTTAATACAAGTTTTCTTACTTTCTTTCCATATAATAGTTGTATGTATGTAGGCTGTTCTTGTTTTGTTTGTCGTGTATATAATGTAAATATTTTTAAAGTAAATAAAGCATATTCGTGTATGTATATAATATAATTGGTTTTTAAAATATTCTCTTCGTTCTCCTCTTGTTCGTTTTAGCTTATTTAAAATTCGCTTAAAGTCTGCCTTCAACATTAATTATTAATTTATTTGTTGATGTAAATAGAAAAATCAGTGATTCTCGTTCTTTGAATTCTTTTTTATTTTGTGCTTAAATGTAGAGTGTTAAAAAACAAAGTTAAACCTTGAAATTCTTCCCCAAATTCCAAAGTCTAAATTGTTTTTTGTCTATTTTCATATATTGAATGTAAATAAGTAACTAGATTTGGTTTGTCCTAGAAATAAGATTGTTTGTTTGCTCATTTTTGTTATTTGGTTTTTGTTAAGAAAAATTCGATGCTTTAATAAAATGTTTTTTTTTTCGTTTTGATTAACTTTTTTCTCTAACTGTAATTGTTTTTAGCTAGAAGTTCTCCAAGCAACTCTACGTTTGTATTCATTTTTTGGTATTTCTCACAGTTAAGCTTCTTTGATTGAGCACAAAAGCAAAAATGAGAATTGTTTCGGTTTCTATATGCGGTTTCCTTGGGCTTCCCTTCCAACTAAACCCTATCGTCATATATATCGTCAAAGTTCTATATATTCCTATGGCTACAAAATGGGAGAGAGATCGGAACTTGGCATTGGGCAGACCCCAGAATCTTCCCCTATTCTGGACTAGCCCAATGACAAATCCCTCTAGAGGTTACATACCTCCTCTATTTCTCGAGTGCTTTTGTGAGATTTTCATTTGATTTTGGGAACCTAAGGAAAATATAATAGATATAGCATTCAATTGGAAGTCAATTTAGATTTTAAGCCATCTTGTGTAATCATTATCCTTAATATCATGGTGTGTGAGGAGTGTTCCCTAAAGCTTAGAGTTTACAAATATAGTTGAAATATAGTTGTGGAACCAAAACCAAGAATAATGTGAATGTGCGTGCTTCGCAATGAAACGCATATTTTGATTATAAAATATGGTCCCGAGGTTGTTAAATATTTCGTCCTTCTCCCACCGACTTTTATATCTCTTTCTATATTCGGTTCTTTTTTGTTTACATATTTTTATGTATTTTTTTCTTGTGGGGTTTAATAACATCCATATTTTGGGAGCTAGAGCGGCGATTTGGAGAGCTAGAGCTTTGTCACTATAAAGTACTATATAGATAAGGCGTTGTGTGTCAGCTGTCCGGGCCTGTTGGCTCTATGGGAACACTACAAGTGAGATCTTCTCTCTAGGCTGCCTCTACGCGGTGTGTTTCTTGTATTTGGTTTCTTGTTAAATCCTTAAAGCCTTTAACCCAAAGCTTAGTTTAATATATATATAAACTGCATTACAATATTATTCTCTATGTTAAATTAATAAAGTTTTGCCTTTGCTTTGCTTGGTTTGTTAATTTTTTTGGTTGAAAAAAATAGAGTAGTATGAATTTGTTATGCAAGTTGTTTTTTCTTTTTTTCTTTCAATTATTTGTTGTTTGTGTTACGGTGTTAGTAATTCATTTAGCGTTTAGTTGTGGTTGTTGGTGTGTATGGAATAGAATTATATAGTTATTTATATAATTGTTGCCTTTAAAAAAACGTGTGTTCCATTAATGTTTCGAAAAAAGAGAGTCAAACGAATGCCATCGTCTTGTAATGTTCGTTATGTTATCATTATCGCGTGCGGATTATCGTGATCTTCAAGTGTTTGCCATGTCCAGATAGTTAGCCAGTTAGTCGTGTCTCTCGCCTTGTCCTTGAATTCCTGGTAGCAAATCAGCATCCTACTTGTGTCCCGGCTCGATGATCTCCACGGTGACGCTTTCGGCCACCGGATTGGTGGTGATGTTGGTGGTCAGCGCCTGCTGCTCCTGCGGCGACTCCAGCTGCTGGTGGTGGTGCTGCTGCTGATGCTGCTGGTGGTGGCCATGATGCTGACGATGAGCGGAGCCATGGCGCTCATGGTGGGCAGAAGCCACTTTGCCGGGAGCCACCGAGTTGCTGCGATTGGAACGCACCGAGGTGGCGGATGCGTTGCTGGCACTGCCATGCGATTCGGAATGTGAGCCTGAGAGGAGGGAACCGGAAACGGAAGTGGCATTAGTATAATCAATAGAACACTGGCAGCTGCGACTACGCTCTACGGATAACCGGCTGACAGGGAAGTTATCGTTGGGCATCACAACAGGACAACAGCAATGTGGTCTCAACGGGGGCACTCGCACTCGAGCCCCCTTCTACTTGGTATTATTAATTAACGTTATTAATTAACGAAGCCAGAGTTAAGTAAGGAAACTATATATGTAGCCGTGCTAGAAAGGAAGGAAACCAAAGCCAAAAACTCAACTAAAGTGGGGATGCTGCAATGGACCAAAATAGGTTAAGAAAGAGACAGGTTTCGATGACGGTTTCTTCTTGGTAAGAGTAAGAGTAAGAGTAAGGAGTTAGAGTTAGAGTATCTACGATCGTTTATTCTTGTATCTGTATCTGGTATCTTGTATTTTTGTTTGGTGTTTCTCTAGGGAGTTTCTAGTTAGCGGTGGCAGGAGTAGTGGAGGTTGGAGTATTTAGTAGTACATACAGGTTCAACCGCAACAACTCTCGACTACAGCTTACATTCTAGGGTAACAACACTGCGAGCCAATAACAAGAACAACAACGAGTACAACGAACGACTACGAGTAGTACACTGGGGGAAAAAGGGTGGCCTAAAATCAGTTATATGCTAGAGAGATCTTTAAAGTTTATGAAGGTTATTAAAGAAAGTTTCTTTATTCCCTTTAAACACTTATAAACATAATAAATATTTACAGCTCATGAAAAGATTCTGTTGGGAATTATAATAAATTAAGAAATTTACACACTATGACAAACATTTAATTCTTATTTGGATACCTATATTGTATTATCATGTTAACTCCTTATACATAAAAAACTGACTTTCAATTGATAGTAAAATTAATATTTTCCATAGAAGAAAATAGTTTAGAAAGACTATATTTTCATTTAAACAGAAACATAACTCCATCCCAGAAATTTTCGAATAAAACCAGTGGAAAATCATAATGTAAAAGTGACTTAAACAGGAAATAGAATAAAAAATTGAGTAAAAATGTACATAGAAATTTTCTGAAAATTAGACACCAAATAGTTCTTGGATAAAACTAGTTAGGAAACCCAGAGAAAAAATTAACTTTCAATGGAAAATTGTTAAATAAAATATCTATACCTGGTAAATGACAGAAATAAATAACCCTAAAAGCAATCAAAGATAACCCTTTCAACAACTGATTAAAGTAACCTTATTTCCCCCAAGTGTACAAATGCGAATTAAGAATTACGAATACGATTACAACTGGTTTTCTTTTTGGACACAACAAAGTTCGCTAGACGAGGACATCAACGTTTACGAGAACACTACGAAGACTGAACGATTTTTAGTGGGTTTCTTCTATAGGTTTTTTGTGGGTTTATATGCTGCTCGCAGGTGTGCCTACCTCTTGGACCCCGATATGGATGCGTTTCTTAGCGTTTTCTTTGCGTTTCTATAATGTGATACGTTTTACAGACAGATACACATGATCTATGATATATAGTCTATATATTCTTTGCGATATATGCGGCATTCTCTAGAACTTGTTCGTTCTGCCGCAGGCTGATGGTGCCATTGTCCCCGCCATGGACACATCGTAGGTGGTGCCGCTGGTGCTGGGCAGGGGCGTTGGCGTAGGCGTGGGCGTGGGCGTGGCCGTGGGCGTGGGCGAAGGCGTTACCGAGGTGGCAGCATACGTTGTGGTGGCCGTGACTGTATGGGCCGCGACTGTAACAGTGCTGGGCGACGTTGTTGTTGGCACATAGGGCAAAAAATGGCTGTGGACCAGGTTGTGCTGGCTGGCGGCGCTCGGATGCGAATGCGGATGCGGATGTGAGTGCGGATGCGGGTGCTCCAGCAGGCGGGAGCAGGTGGACACATCGCTGACCCGCGAGTCACTGGACCGCGTGTTGCTCTTCGAGCGGATCATGCGTCCTTTCGGGGTTCGAATCCGAGTCGGTTTCCGTTTTCCGTGGGTTTTATTTGTGTTCGGTTCCGAGTTTGTTCATGTTTCGTTGTTTTGGGTTCGTTTGTGTGTATATATATTTTTTGTTGGTGGGCGACGGGGAATATGAGCGGTTGGAATACGTTTAATATTTTCGCTTTCAGCACGCGACATTTAGGGTTTCGGGGGGTCAGAAACTCAAATAACAATATAAATAACCCAAAAACAGAAACAGAAAGAAAAAACAGAAGGTAATTTCAAACAACTGTCCGCTGGGCTTAGCACAACAACAATTATCGCCGTAATGGCGTTGAGTAAAACGCTTCTTAAACTGTCAGTCAAATTGATTGAGCCCCCAGCCAAAAAAAAACAAAAAAAAGGAGGGGAAAAAAGGCAGAACGGTGGCTAATATGACCACTATGCTGCCCAGTACATTAGCTGCGGGCTACAATAAATAAAGGGGATTTTCCTGACAATAACTTATAAAAGTTTAGAATCATTCCATGTCTTTAAAGGTTAAGAAAATGTATAGATAATACGGACAAATAATTAATTTTCAAATTGGAAGGAGCCATTTCCGACCCTATAAACCATATATATTCTGGATCAGCATTAACAGCCGAGTCGATCTAGCTATCTCAGGCAGAAAACAAAATTTGACCAATTTTTTCAAAATTTTATAAGGGGTTACATCATTAAAATTGTCAAAAATTGATAAAATGTTGAATACTTTTAAATGTTTAATTGAGTATGCAGATTTATTAAACTACTAAAAACTAACATAGGAGCGATTTCCGAATGAAAATTAATGCTCTTTTGGCTTAGTTAAGAGATTTTTAAATTTGATTTGTAGAACAAATTTTCATATAAAATTATAGATAAATATTGGGTGAAAAAATGGTATTATAATCAGAGTCGGAAGCCAAGAACAATGTGAAGGAGTCATTTCCGACCCTTTAAATCATATATATTCTTGATCAGCATCAAAAGCCGAGTTGATCTGTCTATGTTTAAAAATTTTTTTTTTTTTCAAAAATTTGAACATTTTATAAAAATGTCAAATTGTCAAAAATCGATAAAAATCCTAATTTTTTAAAATATAAAATTGAGTATGCAGATTTATTAAACTACTAAAATCTAACATAGGAGTGAATTAAAATTAATGCTCTTTTGGATTAGTTATGCGATTTTTAAGTTTGATAAAATGATCAAATTGAAACGTTGGCTTAGCGAAGTTATCTTCTTTTGGTTTTGATTTTATTTGTGCTCTATTAATTATTAATATTTAAGTAAGATTGAGTAGGCTTCCTGCATTTGGATTTCATTTAACATTCGTTAGGAAGTTTATTCAAAAGGCAACACTTTATCAGCTACTTCAGAGTTAATGAACTTTTTATTTTCATTTAAGAACTTAAAGAAATATTTATAAATTAATAGTTAAGCACTAATGATTAATATTTTAATTTGTATTGTACTCAAATCTGGTCTGGTATTAAAATTAAAATAAGATTAGCCCTTTACCAGTTATTCACATTTAATTTAACATTCTAAAGTAACTTGAATTCTGTTCAAAAGCCACTTGTAAGTTCTTTAAGTTCCGGTTTTCATTTATAAACTCATGGAAAAAGTTCTTAATTATTCTTCCCTGAATTATTTATCTATGCAAATGTTCCCTGTACTGTACAAGGTTAGATAAACTTTCCTGTTCTGTCCAATTTCAAAGGGCTTTCATCACGTTTTTCCGAGTGCAACCATACCCCGAGTGTCTTTAGTTTTGGGTTGGTTTTGGGTTGGTTTTGGGTGATTTGGTTCGTTTTTTTGTTTCTTGTTTTTTGGTGACTGATCAATTGCTGACTGATTGACTGACTGGCTGACTGATTGGCTGATTGATTGATTGGGTAAGTATTTAGGAGTACCTCTTTCTCTGTTCGTATAGTTTGGCTGTAATAAGAAGGTTTAGCGAGCTGTCGAAAAATGCAGGATTCGAAAAATGGCAAATAATTTTATAATAAACTATATCTTTACCAATTGTTATCTATTATTAATATTTTCCCTCTATGATTGCCATTTTCCGAAACCCCTTTTGAGAAAACTCAGTTAAAATGATGAAAACATAAATTAGGGAAAAATGTAAGAACCAAAAATGCAATCGCGGCAGACCAGAGCGACAGAGAGGCAGAGGCAGAGACAGAGAGAGAGCATGGGCAAGGACAAGGACAATCGATATCGATTCCAACTCCACCTCCAAAGGAGATGGAAGAGGAGTAATGGACACAATAGGAGTGGATACAAACCTGTCTTACCTAGCGACGGATTCGGCGAATGGGGACGCAGCGAGGCCATGCTGGGCTGCCGGGATGGCGCCCGCACCGACATCCGGGAACCGCGACGCTCCTGGCCATGGAGCAGCTTGCTGTCCCTCAGCAGAGAGACGTTCATTAGCCGCGGATTCGGGGTATTAAAGATGGTCCGGTTTTCACGCCAGCGAGCCCTGCAAAGAAGCGAAGAGGAAAAAATAGTCAGCCAGAAATTAGTTACACTTCGGAGAGGAAGAGCAAGATGGAGGAGGAGCGGCTGACAAGCCGGGGTGTGTGATAGTGGGATAGCAGAGCTTTCTGTTCAACAGACGGGAAAATTAATTGGTGCTCGAATTATGTATCGCTTTGCCCAGCAACCAACCACAAATTAATGAAGAAGAAGCCCCATCGAAGCATCGGCAGTACAATTGACCCGGTTTAATGGCAAGCAAGCGGCTGATGGGGATGGGTTTAGATGCCATAAGATGAGATACTCATGAGATGAGATATTTGGAACTAAGATCAAAGGTGACTGATTTGCACAGTGGGTGTAACGAGCTGACTTGGCAAATACTTAATTAGGACACATTTTAAACACATTTTGAAGAACATCAAAGTAAATAACATACTCTAGGTCCTATTAAACTAGATTCAAATTTTAGTTCAATTACATTACATGTTAAATAATTAAGATGAATAAAAAACCTATGTATATTTATTTGGGAACTCTACACAAAACTTTCCTAAATTTATAAAGGAAACTCAAAGAAAACTCATACAAAGAAATTCATTTAAGCATTATATTAATAAATAAATAAAGTAATAAGGCTAATAAAATGCAGCAATAATATTGCTAGTAATATTTATAGAAATGGTAAAACATTTAAAGAAATGTAATATCAAAAACTTCTAGGATATGCAAAAGGTTAAAGTTATAAGCTTTATTATAAATATACATATAACTATCAAACCAATAAACCGTTCATAAACCAGAGCTCGAGAATGTTTATTAGTCTCTATAATATATACATTTTTGCCTTTCAAGCCACACTCTCCCATTAAATTCATAGCAAGTGACTATTGACCTAGATTCGCTGTTTAAATACTGTGCGAGTGTGCTCAAGTTTTCGTGTGTGTGCCATGCCGGGGGAGGCGATGAAGATGGAGATGTTTGCATTGCAATTTACTCACTGGCTAAACAATCGCAGGACGACACAAATAATAACAAACATCAATGCCATTCCTACCAGCACGCCAATCATGGCCGGATCGATGTAGGTCTCGGGTCCCCGCTTATCCTGGCGTCCTGTAACAACAACACAGCAACAAGGCATTAGTCCATTAACCACACACACACACAGTTCCACATCCCCGTCCATGTCCACTGACCTTTGCACTCCACGGAGCCATCCTTGGCCCAAATGGGCGACATCTCGAAGCGGCAGACGCACCGTCCGTCCCGGCATTCCGTCTGGAAGTAACGCATCTCGCATTGCTCATTGAAGAAGCAGGACTCGTTCACGGCGGCCTCTAAGGAATCCGGGAATCCAGGAAATCCACAACGGAAATGGCGAGGGTATCAGGAACGGATCAGGAACGGATTATGAGTCGGAGAGAAAGAGAAATGGAATCAGTTAAGCTGACAAATGGAAAGGATTTGTACACTGAAGTGGATAAAGTTGTATTACATGAGATTTCTTATGTGGCATATTCCTTAACTATTCTATTATCATTATTCTGTTATTTAGGTTTTCAGTAGAACTTTATAAATTGGTAACTATTTTTCCCAGTGCATGCCAGGCCACACTGATAACTGACAGAGCACATATTTGTTAACTGTCGCTCCTGTTTGCGGATTGATTTAATGGCTTCGATTGAAGTGCGATTGACTTTCCACTGCTTTGGCCACTTTGTCTGCCGGTGACAAAATATTATCATGAAACAACCGGGGGATTACCGGTCAGATACAGATACATCTGAGTGACTGACTGTTACGGCTGTCAGATATTTTCGAGTCACGCCCATAAAAATAGATCATCGAATGACAGTGCCATAAATATGCATTGGGAATGTCCAACTAAATTCTTGATTTCTCAATTTGATATTAATTTACAGAAGCGCACGTGTCTATCTATAGTATATATATTATAATTATGTCAAACTAGCATTAGTTGAGGTTCCCGGAACCCGAACCCAATCCCACCGCTGCTGCTGCCAAGTTTTCTATTTTAATTTACAAAAAGAAAAACGCAATCAAGGCTCGGCTGTGGCTAGCTGCTGCCGTTGCAGCAGTTTTTTAATGAAAACTTGGCAGAGTGACAGCGGAAAATAGAGGGAGGAGGGAAAAAGGTGAGGAAAAGGTTCAGCAGTAATGGCCTTACCTTTGCCACATTTATCAATGTGATTGGTGACGGGCAGATCCTCGGTACACTGGCAGGACTTCTTCTTGGGATCGCATATGGAGCCCGGGAAGCCGCACTCCAAGGTATTCTCGCACTTGTCCCCAAACTTCTTCTGGCCGCGGCTTGCATAATCTGTGCAAAAGGATAAGGCAAGGATTTCGGTTAGCGAAAAGAAAACGTGACTAATCCCAGGCGTAAAATTTGTAATGAAAAACAGCCACACAAAAACTTTCCCATATCAATATACAAAAGCTGGGGAAAAACTTTAGCAACGTGTTTGTTTCCTTTTTTTTTTATTTTTGGAAATCCCCCAACGACTTTGGCGGCAGATTAAAATGTAAATTCTTTAGCAGCCTTGGAGAGAGAGAGGTGTTTGTGCTTGTGTGTTTGGATTTGTTCCTCTTCCCCCGAGGATATGGGCCTGCCGAGGATTGGAGGATACCCGGGGCCGCACTAGGAATCCTTCATTAAGTTTGAATGGAATAAAAACATGACTCACGACGACGCACACACTCGAGTCGGCGGCGGCCCTTCACATCTTAATTAAGCTCTTGGGAGCAACTCTCCTCTCCAGCGGGGCCAAACCCGACAATGTGTGAGAAATCTCAGGTTTTCACACGTGCAAAAAAATATTAAGATATGATGAGGTTTCCTATGAATAACAAAATAAAGTCTGCCTCTTCTAAAATATTGCCTCGAAATTACCAGGATTCTATGTTTAAAATGATTTATTATTAAATTTATTCATCCCTAGAGATCCTTATTTTTTCTTAGTGTTCAGCTGTCGCTGCCTTTTCAGTTGCCTCACTAATTTTGTTGATACTCCCGGCCCGTAATTACCGCGACCAAGACCGCGACGACTGAAAAGGCAGCAGCAGCAGCAGCAGCAGCGGATGCGATGCGCCTCGCCATTTAAGCCAGCGGAAGCGGAAGGGCAAAGACAAAAACAAAATGGCTGCTCATGCAGCTAACGGGGGTGCGCCATTTTCCAGATGCCTGCCCACAGTGTGTGTGCGTGTGTGTGTTAGAGAGCAGCCCCCAACCCCACCCCATTCAACCTTTATGTGTTTGTTAGCAGGCCCAAGTCTATTTGCTTGCGGTTTATTTTTAAATGCACTCACTAACCGAGCTATGAATAGGGCTTTGCCTTACAAGGGGCTCTAAAAAAAAATGAATGAAAATGAAATGAAAAAATATACCACATAGCACCAAGGCGAACGAAGGTAAAAGTGGGCAATGCCAGACTATTTAGCTACCTCGCATTTGGTTTATTTTCTCGCTTGTAATTATAGGCGCTGGATTGCCTGCTTTTTTTATTTATTTTCCTGCGAGGGAAACCCCTTTCAATGGCACTGAACATGAATAAATGGTAATCTAATCAACGGCAGCTACTTCCCAGAAATCAATACGTGTTTTTCTTTATCAGAACAAAAAAAAACTTGAGGCTAAAACGAAAATAAATAAACCACAGTTATAGCCCTTAAGTTGGCAAATAAATTAAAGCTAAAGATAGGACTTAAATGATGATTCTATTTAATAACAAGACAAGTTTTTAAAGACATTAAATGAATCGGGTGAATTAATTAATTCCTATACATACATACATATATAAAATTTGTTCTATAAATCAAACTTAAAAATCTCATAACTAATTCAAAAGAGCATTAAATTACGTTACAAGCTTCTGAGTATATTGATAATACCTTGAAAAGGTATAAAATGACAAGTAGACATTTTTGTATGTCAAACATTTAAAAAACTTTAAGGTCTGAAAATATAATTCTAAGTGCTATATTTTAACAAACGTTTCATGTTCCAGTTACAAGTATCTGCTCACTTTTCCGCTTTACATTAAAAGTGTGACACTTCTAAGCACCGAAAACAAATTGTTGTAAAATGCCTAAGGACTTCAAGGGTGCCAAGTTTTAAACTTGAGCTCAAAACCCAATCAAAATAAGACTTTATTTCAAATTGATTAAATCAATGACCCTTAAAGTCGGTCCTTCCGGAATTTTATAAGGAAAAAAGGGAACTTTGTAGGCCCTCGAAGGTTATCCCATCAACAACTATTACTCATGCATTAGGCCCAAACTCGACGCCAAATGGACCCCGACGTACCCTTCACGTAAAACAGGATCAAAATGCCAGCAAGAGGAAAAAAGAGGGGAAAAACCAGCTGGCGCAGCCTCGCAGCTAGATTTTATTTGGTTTCCGTGGAAACGCGGTGGAAAAATTCTATGAAAGTGTTGACAAAGTGGTGGCTGCCTGTCCTATCCTATGGACCATGTCCGTGACCCGAGGCCAACCTTTTGATAGCGAGTCGCACCAAAAAGCGATTGCCCAATTGCCATGGCCCCAAAGTCCTCTACAAATTGCACATATCAGTGATTAAACAGCCAGAGAGCTGCATTAGCCACGGCGCCATTTATAATTAACCCAAACTGGGCCAACTTTGCCTATTTCGTTGGTATCATTAACCCTACCCTACATTCGTTCACCGAACGAGAAGAACCAAAAGAAATAATAGTAACTTTGGCACATTTTTTCCACATCCAGTCCATTTAAGTTTTCGTATGAGAAAACTACTTTAATGCTCCGAAAAGGATGAGTGGATGAGTGGGAATAAAGAAGCCAAAAAGCACACTGGCTTATGGGATTACGGTTGCCGAGGATGCTGTGTGGAAATTATGTAAAGAATTGTGCCTTCAGGCAGGCTTTCCTGCTTCTCACAGCATTGAGTTTATTAAAAAGAAAAAGGTTCGACACTTTATTAACTATGGAAAGTATGAGAACAAAAAGTGAGGGAAAAATAGGTAGTTAAAGTGCCCGAATTTATGGCAGGTAGTTAATGTAAGAAAAGAGTGTATTATATATTATCACCAAAAGAATAATGATAAGATAAAATCTTAATAAAATGTTAAACAAGTGGATCTATTTATAATTAAACTTTTATCCAAGGGAGAAAAGGTTTTAAGCCAGCTATTAGACATTTTTCTGAGAACTTCTTTAAATTGCTATGAATTATAGGAACCCAAAGAAATCAAAATTCCATTGAGGAGAATGTAAATCTCCACTGAAACCAATGATTATTTCCAGGACACAAAAGTGCCATCTTCTCACAGAATTTATCCTGCCACAAAGTCGCATTGCAACTGAATTATTTAGTAGACTTTTTCGCCAAAATGTGGGCCACTGTCAATGGCAGCTGCTTATGCAATTGCAATGGAATTGCCTTCGGGCGAAAAGATTGTCAAGGCAGCCGCATCATACATACATGACACCTTCTCTGCGGTGACGTCAGAGTGAGGACTATATTTCCTCTCTTTAAGGCCAAGCCTATGGTCGGGACATAATCCTGGTTGGTGGTGGTGCTGCAGTCTTATCTTGGACTTGGAATACTTACCAAACTCTGGCGTTGTCGTCTCCGGGCCAGCGCTAAAGGCATTCACGGCAAAGAAATTATCACCGTCATCGCCCAGCGTCAGTGGCGGCAGCAGGGCCATAATGGATATCAGGCAAAGGAGGAACTGGCTCCCACCCTGGTGCCATGCCCATGACCAGGAGCTGGCCCATCCCTGCGACGACGACGACGACGACGACTTCCGACCCACAATGGGCGCCATGGTCATTAACGATGGCTGGGCACGCGTTTTCAGGGTGGCGACAATATCGTGTCCTCCTGTTGCTCCTCTTTTTGTTGGTGTTGCTCTCGGCGCTGGTGTAGCTGTTGCTGGTGTCCTTGGGGCTGTTGTTAATGTTGCGACACCCAGTTTTTGGTTTAAGTACAAGCGACTTGTGCTGCTGCTGCTGTTGGTCAAACTCTCTGCGGCATCTGTGGCCTCGTCGTCTTCATCGACGGACGGTGTCCTCTCACATCGTCCGCGGGTCAAGCGCCTCGATGGCAGGCGGCAATGGAACGACGGTTCAGCTCCGTAGCGGGGCCGGGGCTCTAGAGCCCCATCTAATCTCATATTACTCGATCGTCGTCGTGCTCCTCATCCATGCTGCTCCAATGCCCCCGGACTATATCAATTTGCACACACACTATGGCCCCCTTTCCTCTGGGTTTCCCGCACTTTCGTTTTCACATCAAACTCGGTTCTTGTCACTGCATAAAGAGAAGGAAAGAAAAACCGGAAAATGGCTGAGTTTCGATTTGGGTAGGCACAGAGAAAGAAAAGGTCGACAAATATTTATTTAGGTAAAACTGAAATCAATTTAAAGAGGTGCCTTAAAGTATCGAATTTTATATTTTATGCTTATTCAATTTACTTGTAACCATCGCATACATTCATAAGCATTCATTCATTTCAATATTGTTTATGTCACCCTAGAAATCTCGGAAAATCTTTGCACCCTTAAAAAAGTATCTTAAAATATGTAATACAAGTTATTTCTGTATTTTAAATAAAGATATGATAAGCTACACATTTATTTCTTTCCCCCTAAAACAGTTATTTATTTTCCTTTTTAAAATTTTCAAATAGAAAAATGTTAAGTAATAACTAACCATTCTTTCAATCACCCACCCATACCCAAAACTAAAAGTTATTTACTATTTTGTAACTCAAAGCTAGTTTGTTTCCGATAAACCAATAAATAAACAAATCAAATGTGTATATTTTGTCAGTGCCTTCCCTTGGCTTTGGGTCTAGTTTTGGGGGATTTCAATCAAGGATATAAACGTTCGGGTGGGTCACAGGACAAAGCCGGGCTAATCACTTTGCGGCGTGTGAAATTACAAACCGTTGTTGAAACAATTTCCGAAAGTGCCACCAACAGTCGTCGGTAACTGAAACCGAAAATTGACACATACAAGGTGGTGCCGCCGGCTCCTTTCTCCTCCCCCTCCCCCTAGCTGACCTCTGACCCCGGCCCCCCATTTGGGGCCTGGCAAAAACTGTCACAACTGCCCGCCCCAAAATTGAGTGACGGCAAATTTGTGTGTCTATGACAGTTAATTGGATTAGGCGCGCCCACAACTGGACGGACGGACGGGGACAGGATGGATATATAACGGATATAGACGTCTATTCAAATCCGTTTTCAAAGCTAAAAAAGATATGGCAGCGTTTAATTAAAGCCCATTTTCAATTATTACATTCATAATTGCCCCGACATTGGGTTGTGTGTGTGTTGCGGTTATGCATAAATCATGGATCCCCCAGCAACATGCAACATGCAATGTTGTTGTGGCGCCTTGTTTAGTTCAGCGATTATAGCCAGTTTCTGAAATATGTATATATTATATATGCCAGACACTCTGCATGTCGGCTTATTTATACATATATCTACTTGAATCTGTCCGGAAAACATGCATTGCAGCTGGCTTATACAATTTATTGCTCGACTTTCAGCCTTCAAAAGGAAGAGAAGTTTGATTTCAGTATTTTTAAAAACAAAATAATTGAAGTACTAAGATCTAATTTCTTGTTTATATAAATATATGTTTTAGGTACATTAAAAATATGTAAGTTCTTCTTTTAAAGAGCCCTAAATAATATATATATATTAGTATTTTTATTTGAGCTAAGGAATATATTCATTCATTGCACTTTATATATATTTGTCTTTATTTAAATAGAGTCCTAACATTTATGACAAGGACTCAAGTCTAGAAGAAAAACTTTTCAGTAATTAAACTCCAGAATGTCACACATATAAAAAGTTTTTAAGTAAATAAGTCATGAACAAGTAGTTAGACAGTTACTTATTTGGTTTTAATTATAAGTTTTTAATAATAAACCTTCTCTGAAAACAATAAAATACAACTATTTATCAATTCCAAAAGAACATTTAAATGTTCTTTAGAATAATTCTTATCCTTAAATGAATGAGGATTTTTTAAAAAGTAAATTCTAACCACAAAATATAATACAAAAATTCATCCGTGACATGCAATTGTCATTTTGTTTGCACTTGAGTGTATGGTTTTCTTCTAAAATATTGTCTAATACACATTTATAAATTCAAAGGAAAGCATTTGTGGTTGATTTGAAATGAAATGAAAATAAACAGACTATAATAAACATTAATAACCTTCAAGCTGCAAAGAAGCTTTATTTTACTTTGCTTTAAAAGTCTTAAAATGTCCACATGGCTATTTATAAGGTTTTTTTTTCGTCTTGACTATAAACAATGAAAACCACAATTATTTTTAGAACTTTTGACACACAGGCAAGTAGACAAGAAGACCTTGTCAAGCAAATTCCATTGTTTTAGGCCATTTATACAGACGTGTGAGTATATATACACATATATATATGCATATGTATATGTCGGATCAGGGTTATGGCTGAAGTGGTCAACACAGATAAAGGATGGATGCTGTTCTACCAACGAAGATGATTTATAAACATTTTCCTTGGCTTTGTGAGTATGTGGTTGTATTTTACGTTTTATATTTAAACCATTGAAAGTTATTGGAAAATTAAAATCACCTCAAAAGTTAAGCAGTCAAGCTTCTGTAGATTTACGATGGATTTTAATATATATATAAACTTTATGCCAGAGCGTTTATAAACACGTTGTTTTCTTTCCTGTTTTTTTTTAAAGAAACAATGAAAACATATTCTTCTTAAATGATTTACTTTACGTTCACTTTATAATATGCTTAAAATCGTATTAAGACATATTTAATTTATCTTCTATTTATACAGATTTCCACAAAAAGACTAATCAAGATTATTTATAAACAAGAGAGGAAAATAACTTCAGGAAGCCAAAGTTTATATACCCTTTCAGTTTGCTATTAAATTATGGGATAAAATCGGAAATCGATCATAATGAAGCTTAAAATACTTGGATTCTTTGAATTCATACTTTTGTATGATAAATCTAAGTTTCAAAAACTCATAACTTAGCCAATAAGGCATTAATTTTAATTCAAAAACCACTCCCAAGTTAATTTTAAGTAGTTTAATAAATCTGCATACTCAATTTTAAATTTACAAAAATTATGTTTTTTTTATAAATTTTTGAAAATTTTAACGATGTAACCCCTTATAAAATTTTTAAAAATTTGAACGAATTTAATTTTTACTGAACATGTCTAAATCGATTCAGCTCTTAATGGTGATCAAGAATATATATGATTTATAGGGTCGGAAATGAGTTCTTCACATTGTTGGAGGATTCTAACTAAAATTATAATACCCTTAAAAACCTTACACACATGAGAGGAGCAGCAAAAGTCCCAATCTTGACAGGAGAATAAAGCCTTTTGTTTTTTTTTTAGGAGGCCTTGGTTTTAAGCCAAATGAGCCGGCTTTGGGTGCCGAGTTGTGAATAAATGGTTTCGTTGCCAGGAGACTTTCAGGACTTTGCAGTTAAGCAGCCTGGCAGACTACGACAGTGGAAATCCGCATTCTGCGGTAATTTATGCATTACTCCCAACGAGAATGTAGCACAAATTCATTGGTTTTAAGTTGGGTTTACGCTTTACGATTACTGTGGGACACACAGGATATGTCCTGGGACAAGGGAAACCCATGAAACACAAGAGGCACGCACTGAAACATGTTGCATATTTATGCCTTTCGCTCCAAGGACCCTCAATTGTTTTTCGCTTCGTTCATAAATACGTTCCGGGCGTTGTCAATTGGCTGAAGAGTATTCATTACATGGCGTATACGCAATATATTCCATGTGACTGCACTGGAAGAGGTCCTGCGTGGCTCGTGCCTCGTCCTGAAGCGGATGCCTGGCACATGAAAGGCAGCAGCCAGGACGAAGAAGGAAATTACAAGCATAATATCTCTGGCAACACAACGACGGCCCCGAAACTTTGTCGCCTTTTTTGGGGTACAGTTCGTCCTGAGCAGTTCTCCTCGTGTAATCCAAGCCGAGTTCCTCGCTTCAATTTGCCAACTAATTACTAATTACGGAGAGTAATGAAATCAAATTGGAGTTCATTCCACGACGTCACTTCTTTGTTCTTGCTGAGCCTTTGTTCGCCGCCGGTCGCTGAACTGAGTGACTATGCTTAATACGCCCGAAAAAAGGGCAAGGTGGGTTAACTTTCTAAGAAAGTATATTAAATACTTATTTGCTGACTCCTCTGACCAATGCGAAAGTTCAACAAGAAGTAGTCAGGTGTGTACGAGAAGGATTTTCAAGCTAGGAAAGGTTCATCTTATTCCTTGTTGTATAAAAATTCTCAACATATTTCAAAGATTTCAAAGATTACTTATTAAATTACTAGGGAGAGTATGTATAAAATTTCTGTAAATATATTTCAGTAAAATGTTGCTTTAAATTGTTCCAAACTTGAATCCGTAAGTGAAGAGTAGTATTTACTGTGTGTACATTACGTACACGTGTCATATTTGTTTAGCCTGTGGCTGGGCATTTTTTTGTTTTCCGGTTTGGGTTTTGTGGCGAATAATTTAGGCCTGCGACAACGTGTCGTATGCGCAACGTGGGCGAAGCCCTAATCAGGACGGAGATCGTGCTAATTAACATGACACAAGCATAAATCATAAAGCAGCCACCTGACAGGATATTAGGATGCCCGGCACCGAGGATGTGTGATGTTTTGTGACCGCTTCAATAAATACTTGGACGGGACAGGAATAGCCATTGTTTTTAGCATAAGCCTCAAGGACACGCGCCTCTGTCCACACACGCTTTTATGTGGGTATAAAGAATACAAGTAAAATAAAACTACAAACAGTCGCCAAGAGCCAATTCAGAAATTCGTGCAATAAATTCAGCAAACAATGCCAAAGGACACACATGTGTGCGTTGTCGAGTATTTGCAGTAACAACACTGCGCTTGCCCTGGGCAAACAATGGGCTCGAAATGGATGAGGATGAGGCGGAGGAGCAGAAGGATATGTGTAGGTTGTTAAGCAGGAGAAGGATGAGGAGCAGGAACCAGAGGAATCGCCGAGGCGAGGGCAAACAGAGCGGCGTCCAAAGTGGGCTCGACAGGCGCCGCCAAGCAGCGAACGCACTTTGGCTTAGAGCCAGTCGGATATCTATCAGATATTCAAAGGATACAAGAGCCTAGATAGACAGGATACAGTTGAACTCATTGAAATTCAACCAAGCAGGAAAACAAAAAAGAAACCATTAGAAGGATTTCATTTGTTTTCGATCATGGAA